GGGGGGGGGGCAGAGCTCAGTTTGGGGAGGAACATTTTTGTGTTATCACTTTGGGCCGCGCCCCCAGTTTTTAACCACGGGCTGGAAGAAAACAAACCTGCTGTGAGCAACCGCCACCACCTCGGCTTTGCCTGAGCTCAGCAAACCAGGGCCCTATTGAAACTGCTGCGAGGGGTGCACGTGCCAAAGACCGCAGGCCGTACGGGGGTCCCGGCTGTCGGTCGCCCTGGTACACAGCCGTTCCGCACTAAAGTGCCGCGCCCCCAGTTTTTAACCACGGGCTGGAAGAAAACAAACCTGCTGTGAGCAACCGCCACCACCTCGGCTTTGCCTGAGCTCAGCAAACCAGGGCCCTATTGAAACTGCTGCGAGGGGTGCACGTGCCAAAGACCGCAGGCCGTACGGGGGTCCCGGCTGTCGGTCGCCCTGGTACACAGCCGTTCCGCACTAAAGTCGTTGCCGTTTGTAGGAGCTGATGCCGTATAAGGCCTCCCATTCCCTGCTAGCAGTCATGCAAAACACTCCCCCAACGTGTTTAAATGCAAGTCCCCCACTTTAAGCTGTTTTGCTCTAAATCCAAGTGTTTTGGAACGTATCTTGGACTTGCAGCGAGGACCCCTGCACCGTATCGTGGGAAACCCGGCCCTTTCCAGGCGTGGGGTTTATTTTTCTTGCTGCTGTGTAAGTGCCCAGTAGCAAAGGCTCCTTGCTACACCCACCTAGCATGGGAGCCCCTTGGCACTGACAGGTTAGCAGCAAAGCTCCTGCCTTCGACCCCTCTGTGCAAAGCAAGCCGCCTGCCTCTGGGAAGTGAGGCTTTAACACGGCTCCTCGCCGAGCGCCTACGTGCCGCTTCTGGGGCACAGCAGCTGAGGACAGGGATCCCTCTCACACACAGAGCAGCCCCCACTGCCGGCAGCCGACAGGGCCTGTGTTTTTTAAGGCTGCTTGTCTGGCAGGCGATGCAGAGGAGGGGGCCACTGTCTACAAGTCCTCCAAATTGACCGTAGGGTCGGCCCAGCCATGTCTCGTCTTCACTCCTCTCTTGACCATCTGGTTGTAACAGCGGCCTTCACACCGTGGTGGTCTCTCTGTGGCAGGCACTGGCAGCCAGGGGCGGATGAGAGTTTTGCGGGGCCCAGAGCAGCACAATATTGCGCCCCCCCCCCTTTGGAGAAAAAACAGAAAAAGGGTTCCCAGATGCTCTCCCAAAAAATACCAAACGCGCGGGCTAAAAATTTTGGTTGGGCATACAAAAAAAAACCCCCTCACCGCCTGGCTTCAGCACACAACCACAGGGGGCACCACCAGGCTTCCGTTCAGTGCCCAGCCGGAAATTCAGGCATTGCACATATCCAATATTTTCTGAAGTTTTTTCCCGGGCAGAGAGCGCAAATACCAGACTGTCCGTTAGAAAACTGGACATCTGGCAACCCTAGCCACAAGGGTATGTTGGGGGGGTGGGGGTGGGTGATACTTTATTAAGAATTTTTCAGTTAAATCAGGCCTGCACCACATATGGCGCCCAATGCCCTTAGCCTCTCCTCTCCCAGCATCACCCTGTCCCCCCTCCTCCTAACACCTCCCCGCCTGCCCTTTTCCTCAGTCTCCACTTGGCCCCCTGGCATTTGTGTCTCTTCCTCTTTCTTCTCGTGACCTGCCCCCCCTCCCCTCAGCACAAGCCCCTTCCTCTGCCATCCACCTTCTGCCTTCCAGTGTGCTGGGCGGCCGCGGCCCCAGCCCAGGCGCCAGGTCACGTGCCGAACCGTGCGGTGCAACGCTGTGCCGCGCGGTTTTAAAGTCCCGGGCTGTGGCATCACAACATGCCATGCCACGCCTGGGCGTCTCCCCTCTCAGCTGTTGCGCAGCGTTTCAGCATGCCGCGTGTGCGCTCCCTCGGCCCCACATGGCCAGTACTGGCTGGCGGC